ATCAGGTATTATATAAGTTTATTATAAGGACAATTATATAGTTTAATTTATTATATTTACAATGATAAATTTAAATTATTAATTTTATTTAAAACATTTAATACTCTATCTCATTAAACTAATTAATAAGTGATAAAATTAATTTTTATGAGGAATCAATTAATTTTTCTAAATAATAAAAAAACAAGTCAATCAAATAAATTCAACAAGTTGGGCCTAACAAACATTATAATCCATTTTTTAATTGAGGTTTTTTATGAACATTTTATTGATGAGAATATTTAAATTTAATTTAAAAATATTCTGTTAAGTATCGAATCCACACTATAACTAATATGGATTGTTTATTATTATTATTATTATAATAATAATATAATAATAATAATAATAATAATAATAATAATAATAATAAATACTAACTGATAGAAGGAAGCCCTTATTCACGGAATTAATTGATAAATTTAATTAACATTTTGCATTTAGATTAGGGATGGAGATAGACATGGATCCGAAGGGTTTCAATTTGATATGATTTCATAATATTAATTTATTTTAGAAAAAATCAGATTTAGGTTGGGAGAGTGAATTCAATCCAATCTTGAAAAATAATATAATTATCTCTCATATATTTAGGATAACTATAATAATAATTGTTTATTAATATTTTATTCAATAATAAAATTATATTTATATTTGTGTCAAATAGTATACAATTTTTTACTCAAAAAAATAAAATCGAATTTCGGGTCAAATGTATCGATGCAAGTCTTTTTTTTGGATAAGTCAGTATTTTATTATCCAAATAGTAAAGTTGCCACAAAATATAATCAGGGTTCAAAAACAGAGCAATACATACAAAACGAATCAATGATCAACTATACCCCAATGATTGCAAAGAGTAATATTCACATTATCTACTCTATTAAAAATTCTGCCCCTTAATTGTAAACTAACTATTTCTTTGACATCCTTTAATAAATCACTAGCAGACCTTGAACGACATTGGAACAATCGTTTGTTTCGTTCCTCCTAGAGTAAGTAAACCAATGCATTAAGGAGAAGCTTCATGACCGTTGTTAGCATTGATTTGCCCCTCCATGTTGAACAAGCCCTCGCCACAAAAACATCCCAAGAACAAGCTGCAAACTGCAGACCCGAAAGAGCAAAAGCAGATTCCCACATTGGGCAGCTTAAAAAGAGATACTCTCTAGTTTCCAATTCAACATTGCAAAATACACATAAATAATCATTAATAGTCCCATTCGATGAAGCCTTTCCTTGGTAGGGAGTTTGTCGAGAAAAGCCATATAGGTTATCAAACTATGCTTGGGAATATGAAGGGGAAATCAGATTAATTTCTGCCAAGGGACTTTAGGCTTTTTCACCCGAATAGAATCCCATATAGAACTAGATTTGATGATGCCTGAAGAAAAGAGATGGTGCACTTCTTGTTGGGATTTTGCGGAAGCTCGAATCGACAACCGTAATGGTTCGCCAAGAGGGGTCGGGACGGTTTTTGTGTTTAGGGAGTAAGGAGATTGAAAGATAAAGAATTGCATATCGATTTATAGTGGTTCGACTTCTTAACCAAGTCTACATCCACTACCTTAGCTCCTCGCCAAGGATTTTCCAACAAATTCACTAATTTGTTCTTTCTTTTGAAGACAAAGAGATAACCTTACAACTCCCTAGTTTTTCCGGGCTAAATTAGAACCTTTCCCTAGCTTTTACAAGGGATAACCTAGAACCTTTCCCCTTTACAAAAGGATAAAAGATGTAAACAAGAAAACCTATCTAAGGTAGGTATTTACAAGATTGAGCTCACAAGAACAAAATATTTACAAGAGAAATATGAAATAAGAATGAAAAACTCTTCTCTTGTGTTTGATTGCTTGGATAGTTCTTCACTTACTTCTCCAAGTGTCCTCAACTTGTATTTATAGCTTGAAATGAGTTTGAAGTCATATATAGCCGTTGGATATTTTATAACTTTGGAGAGTAAGTAGTAAATTTGACATTTAAAAATCATTTGAAAAATCAAAGCTCCCCCTCAATAGTAATTCCAAACAAAATTTAGCTTTTAAGATCATGACACTTAAACAAATTGAATTTCAACAAGAATAACAAACATGTTAGTAGCACATGAATTCAATATATCCAAGTCTAAAATACTTTATGCAATACCAATAGTTGAAATTAAGTACATATGCATAAAGTTTTATAAAAATGTTATGCATTTCAAAAATTTAGATATCAATTGTTAGAGAAATATCATTTTTCATTTAAACCACATGCATAAACATTCAAATTTAGGTCAAAAAATTAAATTTGTAAAATCAAAGTATTTGAAAAATTAATATCAATTGCTAAAGATATATCATTTGCATTAAAACCAATTTTGACCAAAATTTTATTATGATGAACGAAAAATTCTTAAAAATTAATAAAACTTTAAAATGTTCATCATAATCATCTTTTCAACATACATGAGATTAAAACAATGATGCATAATAATTTAAAACCAAAACTCATGCATGCTTAAATCCAAATGAGCAACCAAAAAATCAAAATCAAAAGCATTAAGCTTAGAGGTTACCTATTTCTTTTCATGTGTGGCTAGAGTATCTTGAATATCATCACTTTTATCACCATTGCTCCCACACACCTACAAGAGACATTTATTTCAATTTTGGTATCCAAATTGCTTTGGATCCTTGAACGTTAGTTTCAATGCCCCTTGTTCCTTTCGGAACCCATACTTGCCTAATTTTAAAACGTTTTTCTTTCTTTATAGGACAAGTATGTTCCAAATGACCATGATAATGGCAATGTGAGTATTTTTCCATATTTAAACATAATAGGTTGTTTTTAGAAATTAATTATTTTTCTTTTATTAAGCTTTCAAGCTTAACTCCTAACTCAAAATTTTCTTTTTCTAAATCATTTATTTTGATTTTTGAAAGCTCTAAAGTATTTTTCAAAATTTCATTTTGATTTTCAAAATCAACTTTTGCTTTCAAAATCAAATTATCTTTAATTTTGAGTTTTGAAATTAATTTCGTATATTTGGAATTCATGGTCTCAAATCCCAAATACAACATGTTATAAGCATCTTGTAACTCATCAAAAGAAAATGAATTAAATTCATTTGAGTTAGAAGATACCTTGAATTCTTCTTGAGTGCCCATGAGGCATAGGTTGACTACTTCATCTTCATCTTTGGAATCATCTTCATCGCTCCAAGATGCAACAAATGTATTCTTCCCCTTTTTCTTTAGAAGAGGACATTCATACTTGACATGCCCCTTTCTTTGACAATTGAAGCACATCGGGGGACTATTCTTCTTGGTTGATTCATGTTTCATTTCCTTGGAAATCATGAATCTCTTGAGTTCCTTCAAGAGCTTGACCATCTCTTCTTCTTGTTCATCATCGTCTTCATCCACCTCATCAGTTAAATCTTGATAGCTTTCATTGGTGGATTTGAAGGCAATGCCTACCTCCTCATTCTTCTTCTTGTTTTCTTTTTCTTCCCTTTCTTCATCTTCCTTCACCATCATCTCATGAGTGAGAAGGGAACCAATTAGCTTGTCGAGAGTGAAAGACTTTAGGTTTTTTACTTCGATAATGGTCGTCTTCTTCGATTGTCACTCCTTTGGAAGAGAGTAGATCATCTTCCTTACAAGCTTCTCATTAGGGATTACTTCTCCATATCCCTTGAGACCGTTGACAATCAAAGAAAATCTATCTGTCATAGCTTTGATGTCTTCATCGGGTTTCATCTTGAAGTTCTCATAGCTTGTCCCAAATCTCTTTGACACTGGAACAAGATGAGATTCTTCCATAGTCATTTGGGCCTAAAGCACAAAAGAGAATATGTATAGCCTTAGAATTAAGCTGGAACTTTTTCTGCTCTTCTTTGCTCCAATCGTTGTACTTGTCGGAAGGAGAGGAGTAACCGTTCATGATTGAGTTCCAAGATCCTATATCATAGGCTTGAATAAAGTACATCATCTTATTCTTCCAATGAGCATAATTTTCTCCATAGAAGAAGGGTGGCTAGTTGAGTGGTTGCGATTCCATAATAGGTATATCTTCAAGGTAATAAGCACTGGAGGTTGAAGCCATTTCTTTGTCGGTTGCTTCGGGAATTGGTAGAGTTTCTTCTAGGATCGTCTCAAGGATGTTAAGCCTTCTAACGAGTTAGGCTCTGGTACTAATTGTTGGGATTTTACGGAAGCTCGAATCGACAATCGGAATAGTTCGCCAAGAGGGGTCGGGACGGTTTTTGTGTTTAGGGAGTAAGGAGATTGAAAGATAAAGAATTGCACATCGATTTATAGTGGTTCGACTTTTCAACCAAGTCTACATCCACTACCTTAGCTCCTCACCAATGATTTTCCAACAAATTCACTAATTTGTTCTTTCTTTTGAGGGCAAAGAGATAACCTTACAACTCTCTAGTTTTTCCGGGCTAAGCTAGAACCTTTCCCTAGCTTTTACAAGGGATAACCTAGAACCTTTCCCCTTTACAAAAGGATAAAATATATAAACAAGAAAACCTATCTAAGGTAGGTGTTTATAAGATTGAGCTCACAAGAACAAAATATATTTACAAGAGAAAGATGAAATAAGAATGAAGAACTCTTCTCTTGTGTTTGATTGCTTGGATAGTTGTTCTCTTACTTCTCCAAGTGTCCTCAACTTGTATTTATAGCTTGAAATGAGTTTAAAGGCATATATAGCCGTTGGGATGTTTTGGAGCCGTTTGGGGATTATTTTTCTACTAAAAAATATTGCACATAATAGGGGGTATCTGTACCCCTTCATAGGGTATCTGTACTCCTTCATTCAATTCAAATGAAACTAGTCGTTGCAGCCAGGAGGTATGGATACCCCTGGGGGGATATCGATAACCTCTTTGCATTCTGTAATTTGAGTAGGGGTATGGATACACCTGGAGGGTATCGGTACCTCTTAACATTTTTGCTCAAATCCGAATTTAATGGACTTTGAATTATTTTTGAAACCTTTTGAAAACATTGAATAAATTCAATTCAAGCCCAAAAACATTTTTCCTTTAAATTTGTTATATCGAAACATAATTCAACACTTCTGGTCTCAATTTCAGAAGTTTTTTTAGACTCCAGCTGGTAGAGGTATTAATTCCTACAGTCCAGAAGTCTTTGTCCTTCAATGTGAAAGGATATAATACTTAAATAAAAAATTGGAGTCGGCCAAAAATCAACATGACCCGAACCATGTCATCCTAATCGGAGTATGTTAAGTATTAAATACTTAAATAATTCTTAAATAAGCTTTTTGAATGAAGATAAAATATCTTATATTTATAAGAAGAATATAAAAAACATAAAAGTAAATTAAATATATAAGTAGGATATTTTTCTTTAAATCATCGAAGTACACAAACTATCTATTTAAAATAAAAAATCTTATAAAGAAAGAGTTAAAAACTCAATCAAACAAATGATAGATACAAATCAACACTATTGTCGATGTTAAATATATAGTAATGATGACTCGTTAACAAATTATCATTAGCACAATTCATCTACGGTCTATCTTCAATTATTGAGAACGCTTAATATTCAACCTAAAGATCCAAAGATATAATACTTAAATAAAAATTGGAGTCGGCCAAAAAGCACATGACCCGAACCATGTCATCCTAATCGGAGTATGTTTAAGTATTAAATACTTAAATAATTCTTAAATAAGCTTTTTGAATGAAGATAAAATATCTTATATTTATAAGAAGAATATAAAAAACATAAAAGTAAATTAAATATATAAGTAGGATATTTTTCTTTAAATCATCGAAGTACACAAAACTTAACAAATTATCATTAGCACAATTCATCTACTCGTTCAATTATCTTAGCACGCTTAATATTCCTAATATTCAACCTAAAGATCCAAAGTAGAGATAAATCAATAGGATAGTCATATAATCATGAGACAACATCCAACCTAACCTAGAGACAAAATATTGTATACTACATGAAAATACAAAGAATATGATATAAAAACAGATAAAATCATACATAATTTTTATATGAAAAAAAGGAAACTAATTTAACAAAAATTATCATGCTTCAAATTAAAAGGGAGGGGAAAGAAAAAGAAAAATATTATAATAATGTAAAGATATTTATTGTATAATAATTTTATATAATTTGAATTTATCAGTATTTTAATGATGGATGACCAAATGAAACTTGTTTTATAGCGACCAAATGAAAATAAAATGTAACGGTGAGATTTAAAAAAGAAAAAAATTTAGTGACTAAAATGGAACAAAAGTGATAGTTTAAATATTAAACCTGAAGTTTACCCTAATAATTATAATGTTAGAGGATGCATACACACGTGGGTGGAGCAGATAGGATGAGACTTGGTAGGCGATCCGAATCTATCTGGACAGAGGAATTAAATAATCGTCGTTTGTTTGGTTGACTTGCCGGCCGATGTTTTACAAAAACTGACGTGGCAAAAGTTGGGCGATGTTTTAAAATTATTAATTTAATATATCAAGATAAAATAAATAAATTATTTAATAAAAATGTCGAGCACGTGGGAACCAACGAAATGATGATCTGGCTGGTTTATATGATTGGCGTAACTCTTACGTGTAGAGTAATTGTAGATAAGTATTGAAAAAATTTAATTTGGGTATATGGAATTAGCTATTAATGGTAAGTTGACAACCGACTTCAATGGTTTTCCCATTTACGGAACACAAATGCGGCGAGCAGACGTTACGACAATATATACGTTAAGAAAAATCGTTTTCGAAAATGAATATTATTTTAATATTTTTGATAAAACGCTAACTAATTTTTTTACTGAAAAATGTTAATATTGAACGCTACCTAAAATGTTTAACATTTATAATAAAACGATACCTAAAATGTTATTTTTTCTATTGGAAATTAGGTAGTGAAATTAATATTTTCAGTAAAAAAAATATTTTAAGTAGCACTTTACCAAGAATGTAAAAAAAATATTAATATTTCCGATAGAACCTTTCGTTAGCCTTATGTTAATGCTGTCGTACAACAAAACTATCCCAAGTAGACACCTCAAATCTTGCCCTCCATTTTATTATTACCCACGGGAACAATTTAATTATTGTAAATTTCTTAAGCGAGTAAAATATTCATTAATGATTTTTGAATAAACTAGTTTATATGATTAAGATATCATACTTTACTAAAGGATTAAAGGGTAAAGTACACAAACGATCCATGATTTCGAGATTTTGTTTTATTGAATCCTATAAAAATAATCTCGACTATAAGATATTCTATTGAGTTATTCAATTATTAAAAGTTACAAAATCGTTATTAACTATTTTTCTTTTTAGTAAGAGGATGAAATATAGTGGAGCCCAGCTCCTTAAATTCTTATCGTTACTATTTATATTCTAAAATCATCATTTTTTTCATTTAAAGAAATTGACATCCGTATGGAACATAGCATAAGTGTAAGTGTGTCTGTTCTTATATACATATGCAGTAGGTTTGTAGGAGGAAAAATGCTGTAAGTTTCAAGACAAACTATTCTTTCATACAAGACTTGAGTTTCTCAACTTCTCTCAGAAGAGAGTGATTTCAATCGCAAGCTTCCCTCAGCCTTTCCAACCTCTCCTCTACATCACTCCTCTGTATCGGAACATTCGATGGCTTCGTATATCCGATGAACCGCAGCATCATTCCCTGTAATCATATTCCAAGAGACGAACACGGTGACACAGAAATGATGAGAATATTCTTCTTGATCATTAAAATAATACTTCGAGTTAATAATATGGGATATGTAGTCTGCGTTCTATACTGACTGATTCTGGATGCCTTTTACAATACTATTTTTACTATGATTTTAGATCCTGTTTAGTGAGTTGTAGCATAAATGCCACCATACATAAAGCTTGTCTTGCAGAATTGTTAGAAATAATTAGCAGTAGTATCGGTTATTGAGGCTATTTCGAATGACTTGTTGAACCCATGAAATGTTTTGACAGCTTTTTAGAAATGTCGCATACCTCGTGGTTCTTCTTCCTGGCGTAGTCTCGCAGTAGGGACTTCACAAGCTTATTCCGTAGCAACAGCTTGTCACTTTTGTTAGAGATAAAAACAAAAGATGAGAGGTGATGCAGAGCTAATGTGAATGCAACTGATCCTCGAGTTGTAGCTTTGTCAAGGGCACCAGATACCCATGACTTCAAATAGGCCTCCAAAATTGCTTCGTTCTCCTGTAAACAACCAAAATTTCAGACATTCTCATAATAGTAACTTGCAAGTAACCTCCTCTGTTAAGATGCTACATCAGATCGAAACTGGAGTATACAGCTCTATTCTATTTAAGTTGCAGAGAAGATATACATTCACATATGTTCGTACACAGTGTGTATATGTATTTTCTCTATAGGAGTCGGAGAATCTACTTTATGACAGTTCATTATTTCTCTCTCCACCTTATGACTTTTGAAGCAAGCTAATAATTTACAATGTTCTAACACATTGAGGGCAATGTGCCGTTTCATTATGATAAAGATTTCAGAAATTTCATGTGAAATGCATTCAATTACATTACCCAACACCGCAAATTGCTACGCACTCTAATAGAACAGAAAAATAACAGATAGCAGGGAGTACCTCAACAGGTTCAAGGTATCCTTCAGCCTCTCCCAAGCATTTCTGCAATGGCGGAAGAAGTTCAAGAACACGAGAATTAGATAATGCATTCCAAGCAGCAAGTCGCACAGGAGCTTCGACACAACGGTGTAAATATACTGCAACTTGCCGACCATAGGTCAAATCACCAAAAGATACAGCACCATACTGCTCAACAAGATATCGATAAATGTTGCGTAAGTTTCATGAATTTCTGACTGAAACCTCAGAAATTCCACATTATATTTTTCTCCTGTCTCTGGTGTTAAACTGGTAGACATATCTGAAGTAGTTTCACGTCTTCCCTTAGACCTTTTCTCGTCAAGATGTTGTCCATATAGCTCTTGCAAAGACTCATAAACGTCCCTAGTCTTCTCATCTTCGAGAATGGCCATTCCAACGAGTAATATGATGGATAATGAATGCAGTTTCCAGATACCGGAACACTCTGGATGGGTGAGACAACATCTGTAGGCAAGAAAGTGGACCAGGCTTCCAAACCAAGAAGGAAAAACATTCCAGCTCTAGAAACTTCAACTATATGACCAGGGTCCTGCAGAATATTTTGTATATCAGAGGCCTTTCCGAGTCCAGCATGTTTGCTAGCACATAAAGTTGATACTGGACTAAGAAACCAGTGCATGGGAAGCGGTAGTCTCTGGTGGGCCCATTCCGACATCAATGAAGTGCAGTTATGATCTTGACTCATCTTTGATGTGTCTAGGTCCTCTGGTATGGTTTCCAGAGGAACACTATCCCTTGATGTTCTATCAACACTCGAGCCTTTCAATTTTCTCTTATTAGACAACCATCTATTTCTGAAGTGAGAAGCTAATATCTCACTTACGTGCATATAGTCTTCTTCTTTATATTCCCACCCATATGATTTTATACTCCCCTTATCCTGGATAAAACGTTGAATGCAAAGACTAAGGTACTTTAGAACAGGTACTTGAAGCATAACATCCAACGCTTTCTCCACAACGACCTTGTCTCTTGGTCCAGCAATTAAACATAATCCTAAAGCAGAAAGGATTATTTCCCTGGTAAAGGTCCTCTGTTCATCCAAGGATAAAACTCCTGTAAAGATAATCTGGAAGATTTCAAGCAACTGACTGAGCAACCATGCATCTGTTTGTGCCAATAAAACAATTTTCAACCAAAATCCTCCACCAGAGGCACCCCATCCAAACCCCACACCAGGAGCAGGGCCTCCTCTACCAAAAATCTCAATTGACTGCACAAAGTGCCACTCTGATGCTACTAACTTCGAGAAAATATCAAAAACACATCTCAATTCAAACAAAGATTCTACCAGTATCCCCTTTGCAAGTATGTTCTCTTCATGTGATAAACAGCGTTCTTGAGAAGGATTATAGACCATAGTCTTGGTTAACTGGATCAAATTGTTAATGTATATACAAACCTTGAAGAAGCCATGAAGGCAACATAGAGAAGCAAATGATGTTTCGAATTCACTTTGCTTCCTTAAAGAACAGAGTTGCTCAATAAAAGAACTACCTGCAGCCAGGTTAGTTCCATATTCTGCACTGTTCACACGAGTAAAGCTCAAAAAACCATTTCTAATAATTTCAAGTCCAACCTTAGGAACAAAATCTGGCAACCATGGCACGTGACCACCACCTTCTTGAAGGTCCATGGCATCCTCAGGGATCACTTTTTCAAGCACTCTGGAAAGCATGTGCATGACAGCTGAGTACACCCACAATAAGGGAGAGGAAGATTTATCTTGGAGAACAGAGTTCCCCATTATTCCATCATGAGAATCAATCAATACAGACTTAACTGATATCCATTTAACAGCTAAATCAACCATTGGTCCAACATGGATCCAAGACCAGGTTTCCACATTATCATCGGCTCTCTCAGGTATGCTATCACTTAGAATCTTGTGTGAATAAAAATTTGGAAGTGTTCTGGCCAAGGATTCTAGAATAAGGTACGCCTCCTCAGAGATGGAAGCAAATTCACTTAAAACATTATTCTCAACCAGTTTTTCAATTACAGGGGGATTCAACCACAAGGACAAGGCAGGAAAAACGGTGGAGAAGTATGATACACAATATCCATACTGAATGCAGACCTTCCAAAAACGTAGTTGTTCAACCATTAACGCAGATGAAAGTTTACAATTTTCTCTTCCCAATTTCAACCATTGTTCCAGAGAGTACAATTGGCATGTCATAGCCTGGAAAATTCCATTCTCTATGAACTCCACACAGTTCTTCCGGTCAGATTGTGCTAGGACCTATTTAACAAAAAAAAAAATACAGCAATATAAATTCATTATTCTAAAAGGTAGGAAAATAAACCATTCAATAAATGAATAGAACGCAGCACAATTTTCATTATTTTTGCTCACGCAAAAAAGGGTCAGGCAGCCTCAGCCCTCATGACCGCCAATGTTCCAAAAACAATTGAATATAAGCTTACCTTCAAAAGGCAAACAGATTTAACCTTAGCCGGATAAACCTCCGTGCTGCTATTTGCGGTGAATCGGTGAACAATAGTTTGGACTAGTCTTTGGCACTTCATTATTGCGTTCGCACCCATTGGGGAATGCCTTGCTATTGCAACTAGGACTGAAACCATGCATTCTTCCAAAGGTGCTGTTGGTTCTATCCGGAACCATGGAAAAAAAATACTTAGCAGAAACATTACACAACCTAAGAATTGAGCTTCTGGGATACAAACCATGGCTGCTATCCTGTTAGGATTCAGAATAACTAAAATATAGAGATCACTATACAACTTATTAGTTTGACAGAGTCTAATGTAAGTATGAAAAAAAAAGAAAAAAAATGTAAACATGAAAATCAGCAGTAGAGAAAAATAAGATGCTAGCACAAGAGTCTAGATCAATAGTAAATTCTAATAAATTTAAGCAGAAACCTTATGGCAGGTATATCAAGGACTTAACAAAACAGATATTGAAATGGATTTATCGAACAAAAAAATGTCACCTCCAAAAGATATCGAATCCTTGGAAGGATTCCCATCCTAACCAAACCGGCAGCAAAATCTTGTCCAGCAACTACAATATCATCCTGAATTGTATGCTTCCCTCCAGTTTCATCTTCCATAGTATCATCACCATGAAGAAGAATATTTGAAGGTTTTGCACTATACTTCCAAAATCCCCCATGAAGAAAACCAACGTCAATCTCTGGTTTACTTCGAAATATAGGAGCAGTATGGGTATCCTTCATGTTTATTGCTGTTTTCTGCAATACATACCAGTTATTAAACTCCGCATTACATATAGACATACAAGAGTAACGAGACATAAAAAATTAAAAATCTACCTTCGAAAGATCAAAGTAATTCTGAATTATATCACAGCTCAATATGCACTGAATTACTTTGGCGCTTGCTAAAACAACAGAATAGTGATTATCATCAAGAGACATCCTACATATATCAAAACATTCAATTAAGGGTAAAGAATACAGAATACAAACTCATTTTATGAATCAACATCTAAAAATTTAACAGGAAAAAGAACAGTGCGACTTGACATTATTGGTATTTTGAAAAAAAAGCTCATTTAACCTTAACGATAAGATTAGCTCAGGTTCTGGGCTCAGTGCAAAAGCCCAAACAGCTTCCCAATCAACAGCACCATCAACAATGTTATTATCGGTCAGAGTAGAGCCAACAGGATTGAGAGAAATATTATGTAATACCTTATCAAGCACGGATGCAAGGAGATGTAGTGCAAGGGCCCTTTGTCCTGGAATCTAAATTCAACAATATCAGTGAATAACAGGATATCAAAACACTTTTATATCAAAGATATACTGTAACAATATTTAAATACACAATCTAACTGCAAGTCATCAACACATAATTATATTGGCCTTAAAGATATAAATGTTATCTAATAAACCAATAAATTAAATAAAAACTTACCGTGCTTCTTGTGAGTGCTACTGCTTCTTTAATTGTATAACCTGCTGCGCCAGGATCCCTCTCTGTCTGTAAGAAGTCACGTTCTGCAACATTTTCACCACCTATAATACAACAACGAAAGGAAAAATAAAAAAAATATATTAATTTCAGTCATCTTCTGTTCCTTGTATGGTTACTGGTTAGCATCCTACAACAAATTATTATCTAGCTTGACGAAGAATACAAACTTTTGAGGAACAAATAAATCTCGACAAATCAATTTTTTAGAGAGCTTGTGAAGAAAGTGACAAGATCGAAAGTCTACTGCTTACCCATAGGCCATAGATGCATAATATTAAGTGAAAATGTGTGCAGGTATGCATAAAAGCAACTAAATAAATGGACAGGAAATATACTATGATTTCGCCTTACTTATCTCTGGTATCTGGCCAAAATCATTTTTAACAACAGTCGCATCCAAGGAAAATCTTAATTCCCTAACAGCCTCAACTCTCTGGCTCCAAGCATTCCACAAGCTGCCACTTACAGGGTTTACATCTAGCTTCATGTCACTGTCAAGGCCGCTCTTTGTAATGTTTGAGCTTGTCGAGATATCGGGATTATTTCTCTCTATATTTTGAGTATTTATAGCATTGTTTGACATATTTTCATGTCTAATTCTCTTTTCACCATCGGCAACCAGGTTTGAGGTTGAGTCTTTTTGTTTCTTTAATTTCTGTTGCCCTCGCTTTTTCAGTAAGTTCAGTAAAGCAGGATCCATCTTCTGCATAAGCTCATCCTGTGCTTGTTTAATTTCTTCAGGTGACATGTTTTCTAATCGGACTTGATTCTCAGCATCAATTTCGCTCTCAAGAGACATGGACCCATGTTCATTTCCTAAGTTGTTGAATTGTTTTGGCACAGTGGTATCTATCTTCTCCATTCTCCTGAATTGTGCTTGAGCACTATCATTATGGAACATTCTTTCTGTGCTTGAGCACTATCATTATGGAACATTCTTTCTGCCATGGCATGATCATCAATGGCCATTGATCCTGATTCACTACTTATGTTTTCAGAGTTAGCATCTTTAACATACTCTTGCTGGTGTGATAGGAGTAAGTCATCTAAGTCCATTTCAGTGACTGAACTAGCACTCAATTCATCATTCCTCATGGCTTTGTTGGTTTTAGCCAAAGGCCTATGAGCAATTAAATGTGATTCTATATCTACATCCATGGAGTAACATCCGCAATACCGGGTTAGTGACTAAATTGAAAAGTTTCAGAATTTGGTGACTAACGTAGAAGAATGAAATAATTTAATGATTATTGGAAATATATGTTGAAGGTTATTTAGTAATTATTAAAGGAAATTAAGGGTAAAATGATCATTTGACCAGAAAGATTTTTATCTTTCTTTTAAGGTTATAAAAACGTGGAAAGGGTGAGAAGAAAAGAAAGTTCTGGAGCTGGGTCATCTCCTTCCTCCTCTCTTCCCGTAAGCTCCATGGCAAAAGTAAGTTTAATTTCAGTTGGTTAATTCTTGAGTTTTAAGCTTAGTTTTGATTCTTTGGGTATTAAATAAGCTTAAGGAAAGCTTATATGGGATTTAAACAATAAGATAAAGGAATTAAGAAGGAATTTGTAATATGAGTTTTAAGATGAAATTTTGATATGGTATGGTTGTTGAAGTTTTATGGATGAATTTGACTTGTCATCAATCTAATTAAGAAGTATGAAGTGTTAGAATTGGAATTAGAACACATTGAAAATTTAGTGTGATTCTTGAATGCCATGTAAATGATGGAATTTTGGGTTTAAAGAAGTGATTATGGAATAGAAATGAGTTTAAATATGTGTATGGAAGTTAGGAATATTAAAGGAAGTAAAATATGAAGGTTTAAGCTGAAATGAAGTGAATTTCGAGCTCAAAAATGTGATTTCTGGGCAAGGGGAATCGGTACCCATTCAAGGGGAACCGATACCCCCTCAAACGAACATGGAATTCCAGAATGCCAGAGGGGAACCGATACCCCCACAGGAGGGAACCGATTCCCCCTAAAGGAAAATTATGAATATGAGTGTAATAAGTTCGTTTAAGTTGCTAGTATCCAATTACAAGGTGTAGGTATCTAATGATTGCCTCAAAATGTACATTTATGTAGATTCTGCGCGTAAAGCAATTCCGGAACATTTGGCAAGTAAGATCGATCAAGGGAAAGATAAGAGATTGGAATTGACTAGTGAGGCCAAGGTGAGTGCATACTAGTGACATGTAGTGTTTAATGGAAATAAGACTTGCGATGAGTCTATTTCCTAGAGTAATATGCATGAAGTCATAGACATGATTATGTGTTGGTTATAACTATATGTGATTATATGTATTACATTGATTGTATGTATGCATGACTAAAGATAATAATATGCTTTGTATATGCTATATGATTTATGTAAGATTTTATTATGTAATAATGGAAGAACATGGAATAAGTTATATGATAGAGTTATAAGAAATGAAATGAACATGAGAGAATAAGATAATCAAGTATAAGTCATATGATATGGTATAAGTGATTATACGAGAAATGTTAGGAGACTCTAAGAGAATAGTATGAATTCGAGGGCATAAATAAGGATACATAAGTTATATAGAGAAGATTGATAAATTAAAGGAAACTATGGTTTATGTATTAAAGTGAAGAGCTACAAAGTTTTATTAAAGAGTATTGTGGAAGTCATGAGAAATTGAACTAAATAAATAGATGGTTTATGTGAGTGAAAAGGGAAAATGATATAAAATAAGTTATGAAATTATAGGAATATATAAGATAAGTCGAGAGATGTAGGGAAATAGAAATAGATGTTTATTAAGAGTTATAGGAGAACAAATATATGTAATATGATAATGAAATATAAGACTATGTGGATACATGGTTATGAGATAAAATATGTAATAATAGGAAAATATGATGAAAGTGAGTTTATAAGAAGTGATATGAACTAGGTAAACATGGGTAACAGTATATGCATAATGGAAACATGAGTTGGACAAGTACATTGTAACATCCGCAATAACGAGTTAGTGACTAAATTGAAATGTTTCAGAATTTGATGACTAAAGTAGAAGAATGAAATAATTCAATGATTATTGGAATATATAATGAAGGTTATTTAGTAATTATTAAAGGAAATTAAGGGTATTATGGTCTTTTCCTTTAAAAGATATTTTCCCCCTTTTTTAAGAGTGAAAACGTGGGAAGAGAGCTATCTGGAAGCTTTCTTCTTCTTACTTTCTCTTCTTCACGTGGGGCTTAGCTACAATAGGTAAGTTTAATTTCAGTTGGTTAATTCTTGAGTTTTAAGCTTAGTTTTGATTCTTTGGGTATTGAATAAGCTTAAGGAAAGCTTATATGGGATTTAAACAATAAGATAAATGAATTAAGAAGGAATTTGTAATATGAGTTTTAAGATGAAATTTTGATATGGTATGGTTGTTGAAGTTTTATGGATGAATTTGACTTGTCATCAATCTAATTAAGAAGTATGAAGTGTTAGAATTGGATTTAGAACACATTGAAAGTTTAGTGTGATTCTTGAATGCCATGTAAATGATGGAAATTTGGGTTTAAAGAAGTGATTATGGAATAGAAATGAGTTTAAATATGTATATAGAAGTTAGGAATATTAAAGGAAGTAAAATATGAAAGTTTAAGCTGAAATTAAGTGAATTTCGAGCTCAAAATATGATTTCTGGGCAAGAGGAATCGGTACCCATTCAAGGGGAACCGATACCCCTTCAAGCGAATAAAATTTCCAGAAGGTCATGGGGGAACCGATACCCCCACAGGAGGGAACCGATTCCCCCTAAAGGAAAATTGTAAATATTGGTTTAATAAGTTCGTTTAAGTTGCTAGTATCCAACTACAAGGTGTAGATATCTAATGATTGCCTCAAAATGTACATTTATGTAGATTCTACGCATAAAGAAATTCCGGAACATTTGGCAAGTAAGATCGATCAAGGGAAAGATAAGAGATTGGAATTGACTAGTGAGGCCAAGGTGAGTATATACTAGTGATATGTAGTGTTTAATGGAAATAAGACTTGCGATGAGTCTATTTCCTAGAGTAATATGCATGAAGTCATGGACATGATTATGTGTGGTTATAATTATATGTGATTATCTGTATTACATTGATTGTATGTATGCATGACTAAAGATAATGACATGCTTTGTATATGCTATATGATTTATGTAAGACTTTATTATGTAATATTGGAAGAACATGGAATAAGTTATATGATATGGTATAAGTGATTATACGAGAAATGTTAGGAGACTCTAAGAGAATAGTATGAATTCGAGGGCATAAATAAGGATACATAAGTTATATAGGGAAGATTGATAAATTAAAGGAAACTATGGTTTATGTATTATAGTGAAGAGTTACAAAGTTTTTATTAAAGAGTATTGTGGAAGTCATGAGAAATTGAACTAAATAAATAGATGGTTTATGTGAGTGGAAAAGGAAAATGATATAAAATAAATGGAAATTATTTATAAGATAGCATGAGACTAATTGAACATGTAATATAAACTTTATAAATGAGTACTTGGGTAAAATCATTATATGATACAATTATAGAGTATTACTATACAAATCATATTAAAATATGATATATGAGAATATGAGTAAGTTTATAGGATATTGATAGGACATATAAGAATATTTAAATGTATATGATATGAAAAGGGAATACAAAGAAATGAGCATCAGGTAGATAATATGATATCAGTTATTATATATCTATATGATATATGCCATCAGGTAATATGAAAGGACTCTGAAAATTGATATAAGCTATGAGAAAGTGTTATAGGTGTTTCTTTTGTTATATGAAGCATATATGATCATATGTGAACAAGATATGATATGTATGTTTATATGAATATCTGAGAAATGATCTAAGCTATATGATATGTTATATGACATGGATCTATGTAACTACGCGAGAAAGTATATAAGCTATGTGACATGTAAATGTGACTCATATGAAAATGTTCTATGAGTAATTGAACTATGTGTTATGTGAAATGATAAGTATAAAAGAAAATGCCCATGTTATGTGTCTTGAGAGCTAGGGGTATAGTTGGCATGCCAAGAGTCGAGGGTTTACCTATGTTCTACGGAACATATGGACAGTTTTACCTATGTTTTCGAGACATATGACAGTATACCTATGTTCTAAGGAATATATGGACAGTTTACCTAGGTTCTTCGGGACCTATGGACAGTTACCGAGGATCTTTATGACCTCTGGATAGTTACCGAGGATCTTTATGACCTCTGGATAGGTCCTTCGGGACATTTATATGAGCTGTGATGACAGTATAGTGGTGCACAACCTCAATAGACTCACATATCTACAGTTCTCACATGTGTACATGGGCTAATCAAGAGATATAAACAAATATGTTAGTGATATGATAAATGTATTACAAATGATATGATGTTGTGTGTATAGTGTTTGATTGAAAAGGTTAAGCATAAAAGTATGTGATTACATGATAAACTGCTAATGATGATTTATGTGTATGTATGTATTTATTGTTAATTAATCTGATATAATTTTACATGATATGAGGAAGTCATGTAATTTGGTATAGCATGATAGAACAGAACATGCATATATTGATATATGTTATAAAGTGCATTATAAGTTTTTATGCCTCACTAAGTCTTCGACTTAGCGTGTGATTGTTTCACACGTAGGTTTCGAGAAGAGTAAAGAGTAATGCGGAGCAAGACAGGTCAGTTCTCCTTACCAAATGTCAGATCAGAAAATATATGTACTGGTTATAGAGTGTAGTTGGCATGTAGTCTAAAGATATAAATTGTATGAACTCTGATATATTTTGTAAACGTTTTGAATAAGTTAAGTGTTATCAAAGTTTTTAAATTACTCACTATTTTATACGAATAAAGGTTTGAAAAGTCAATGTGACACTTCAGACTCGTATCCGGGTCGGATACGGGTTGGGGGTGTTACATTTAATGGTATCAGAGCTAAGGTTTAGCCGATTCTCGGCATAAACCGAAGTCCAAAGTGTCATAAAAGGTGTACATGCCAACATAGATTGAAAAATTTCTGATCTGATAGTGTAAGGAATATGTTGTCTTGCTAATAGAATAAGAATAGTTTAATACAGTAGAAATCCGATCGTG